CCTGCCGTTACTTTTGTCGCACGGTGTATAGCGACCCGTGGAAACGATATTCGCTAGCAATATCAAACGCGCTCGCTGAACATAGAGAGAAAGTCTGGTCTACTTTTCGAGTCGATAATAACGTTACGCCTTGCAAAAACGATCTTCCTCGCCTTTGTCGATACACGGGGTGTGTGAAAAGAAATCGCGGGCAAATTAAAAGATCCTCTCGTTAACGCTTCTCTTTTGCTCCTCCGGGTTTCAAGCCCAGAGACTCCGAACAATAGTTCGTTAAATACGATTCGTGAAAACCCTGTGTTTATGTACAAAGTTTGATTCAACGAATATTTACAGACCGGAGAAATAATAGTTTGAAAATTTTTTAGACAACCGGTACCGAAAGTTGGTCATCGATTGACACCGTTTGAATGAAATTTCTTCAGAAACGCGAGTGAAAAAGTCTTATATCGATCACTTTTCGCGAAGGCAAATTTGACTCGAATCCGACGAACGTTTGCAAAAAATTTCCTCGTCCTATCGTCGTATATACGCATGTTTGTACATATATATAATCTATCTGTATGTATATATATATAATTTATTTATTAATCTCGTACGCGTAATATGTACGAATGTATACATATACTGGAAGAACAAGACGCCAAACAGCTTTGCCGGCTTCAAAAGAGCGCTACGAAAAACGCGCGGGTCCCATTTCGAAAGAGTGCCTCGAAAACGAAGGAAAAAGGCCAGCCATTATTGACTCGCCTATTTCTATACGAGTTCCGATCGCGACGAGCAACTCGATGTTACATCGAGCGTCTCCTTTTATCGCACCAAGCTCCAAATTAATTTATTATCGTGTTTAAGAATTTATTAGCTTGGTCGTAAAAGTGGACTTTCGAGTGCACCGCGCGTCTTTAGACTCGTATATTTCTCTTGTCGATGAAGGCGATGGCGGTAGGAGATGACGGGGTTGGATTATGGCAGCAGTGAACCGGTGTAGAGTGTTCCGTAACGCGTGAATTTTGTGACCACGCGTTACGAAGCACGAGCGACGGAGTTCCTCGGTACAGTTTTCCGAAAATGGTCTCCAAGACCGAGGAGCTCGTCACCTCGAATCATGCTGAGGCTTCGATTTTGCCCTCGTCGTCTCATTCCTACGAGACGTTATGTACAAACGCATGCACGAAACACTCTTTGCTTCGATGCTAGTGGAAACGAATCGAAAAGGTTCTGTAAAGGAGTCACGTCGGCGAGTTAACGAGAAAAGTTTGGAAAAACTCGGCGGGTATATCGAAACGTTTCCACGTAGAAAATTCATCGGCGACCGTGATCTTTCCCACTTTGTTCGATCATCGGGCAATTCTCGAAGTTCAATTCTGCGGAACGAATCGCACAAAAAGGAAAGAAGACGTTCGAATTATGCACGACGTCAACCGTTACTCTACCAACATTTATGTTACGCTAGCTCGCTAAAGGGATTTAGTCTTTATTATCGACGATAAATACTCGCTACACTTCGCACTATGTCTACGCTAGAAAGGATGCTCGTAGTGCGAGCCAACGGGAGTCGAAAATAGAAAAAAGAGGGGAAAGTCTTACCTGGTTTATTCAGCCGCCGTGGTCGCCTCTCGAATCCGAATCCATGGAAGTGGTTCTCTCTCTAGCGATCACTCAATTCTACTCTGCCTATGGGAATTAATATGCGTCTAAATCGTTCCTGGTTCTTCTCTCCGTCTCTCTTGTTTCGTCACCTTACATTCTCTCTCTCCCTTTCTCTCTCTATATATATACACACATATATCTTCGTTTTTGTTCGAGTTTACAGAGAGATCGTGGGGTTAAGGCACTCGAAGGGTTCCATCGACGATCGTAAAACAAGGGGAAGAACGATCGACGAGTGCACGGAGAAAGGGAACGGTAGTCTTCAAATCTAGCTTCGACTAAGGAATTACGGCCGAATTGTCGAGTAAAATGATATGTCGCGTGCGTCGATATGTAACGCGCCTCGCACGAAGTCGAAACACCGGGAACACGGTTCGAATTGGTCCATTCGGTACAAACGGTGCGTTTGAAAGATCGATCGGAATTCGGGGTGTCTCGTTCGGGAAGTCCGCTCTCGCGAGAAATCACAGCATGTACGTATAAAACGAACTACGATCTAACGTTCGTACTAAACTAACTCGACGATATGTACAGATATCGTTTCAACGACCAGGTTCCCACCGGGACTTTCTCCGTGCCGGGGGTGTCGGAGGTACGCTCGAGCAAAGGACCAGAAAATTTAGAGTAAAATCGAATTGAAACGTTTGATCGAGCGTACGTGGGATCGGGATGGATCTCTCACTTTCCAAGGCTTCCAGCGGCAAAACTTCTCGATTAACTCTTTGAGTCGAAACGCAAAGAGCTGCGATGAAAACGGAAACTGAGGGAGAGACGGTTCTCCGTCGATGCGAGATCGCCGGAGAACCTCGCGGTTTTATTTACTCTTACTTGTTGGTTAGAGCGCCAAGGATGATCTAGCTAAAATGCATGCGCTACAACAATTTCGCCGGCTGTCTCGAACAGCGTAAGCAACACGAGGAGGGAAGCAACGTCGTTGTCTCGGTACCGGAGGCTTTGTCATAAACGACTCGAAAATTTGTTCGAATGCTTCGATTACGGAGAAAGAACGCGTTTTCTCCCCGTTGCGTTCCGACCAACCAGAGAGCGCCGCGAAACGAGCGCCCAGCGGGGTTAACGAGGCTAGTTACGGCTTAATATTAATTAGCCAATTAGCGATGCGCTCTACGCCTCCGGCACGTCGACGGTTTCGACGCCACCGGGAGTCCGATCGAAGGGAAATCGGGACAAATAAACGTGGATAGACGCTAGTTCAGGGTTAAATTACACAAAGAGACACGAACGTGAGTATGCGAAAGGTATTACACAGCACCAAAAAAAAACAGATGAAAGATTAAAGGTCGATTAAGGAACAGAAAATAGGAAGGGTAGGGTACACACAATACAGGTTAGCTACAAGTTTGAAACGAACTACTTTATTGGCAACTCATCTAGGCATCGAACTAAACTAAATAATCCGTCGTTTTTGTTGTTCTTCGCGTTCGCCGCCCTACGTGCTCTCTTTCGCTCTCACTCTCTCTCTTTCTCTCTCTCTGCCGTCTCGTTTCGCGATCGGGAATAAGGCTGATCCGAAAGAAAATTTAATTTTTCCCTCGGTTCGACGGATCAGCCTCGGACTTCGTTTGGATGTTACGCGCTCGCGTCTCGTTGCACGGTCGCTCCGTGTTTATGGCACAAAAACGAAATGAAGACGAAGATCGGCAACGAATCTCGAGCGCGCTTCGAGAATCTTTCGACGGCGACGATCAACGGCGATGCGCAACGATCATCGCAACTGTGAATGACAACAACGACGATAACAATAGTGGAGGCACATCGCCGAGGTATTCGGAGAGGATTGGGAAGGTCTTTCGTTGCCCGATCTAGTCGTTGCTATAGAAAACACGAGAAAAATTTATTGCAAAAAATGATAAAAAATCGAGTTGACTCACCGAGAGTTTAAGGGACGTGTCCCTAACGATTGACATTCAGTAGGCAATGTTTCGATTACAGCTTATCTTAGAGTACTCGAAAGTTGATGAGCAACGCGTTCGTCGATGGGTGCCTTTTTAGAGCTCGAAAAACAAAAGAAACGCGATCGAAAAGAAAAGAAAGAAAAAACAGTGAACGAAACGGAAAATAAACAAGGAAAAATTGATCAGATTTAGACGTTAGCGCTCGCTCGCGATCGTCGGCATTAAAAAAACGTACGTCACGACGAGGGCGGTGAAGGAACAACAGGATCCAGAAATCTAAAGATATTTTTCAACCAGCATGCTTTACCTACTAATCATTCTCAACTAATGGGTGGTTAGCTTTCATCAAAATACTAACTACGCTAAAAATTACTTTCGACATTCGCAATACGTGTAACCGTGTCTGTCTATACGTTGTGTATGCGTGAAATCAAGTAAAAAATGTACGTGTGAGCGTGTGTGTGTGTATGCGCGAGATGTTAGCATGTACAATACATGATATCACCGGCAGGTGTTATCAAAGGGGTTGAAAAAGGGCCGTAGGAAAAAAAGGAAGCGTTCGCGAAGGAGAGGGCAGGCTAGCTGTCAACGATGGATGGCGTCGATGCATCCCGAATCAAAATTCGATTCGAATTTCTGCATCGACTTTTTCATTAATAAAAAAAAAAACAGAAAAAAATGCGACACGGGGAAAAAAGAGGACACCCCGAAATTGAAATTTAATCGACTCTTCTCCCTTTACGACTCTACCAAAAGAAAGAGAGAAGGGTGTCCTCGAGTTTAAGTACGCACCCATGTTCTCGAAACGGCGAATCGACGAAATACGCGTAGACCCTGGATAACAAAAACTAATGAAAAAAAAAAAAAATGTAAAATAAAATATGTTCTCTCGTTGATTACGCGCGCGTATATTTGCTTTTCGCGATTTCGTAAGGCGTGATTCGTTCTCTCGACTCTCGCTTATAACGCACGCGTCCGTTTTAACTCGCTTATCTGCTTATCGTTCTAAGCATCTTATAAGTAATAAATATCACTCGCGAGCTTTGTCGTCGTTAATATTACGGTACATGTTAAGTATATGTTAAGGTGTGTATATCACTATAGAATATTATTCGTCGTTCGAGGAGGACCCTCGAACTTCCTTTTGCTCCTTCCTTTTTTTTTCTTTTTCTACGTTCTTGTCCCTACCTCCTACGCTGGCGAACCAACGGTTATCGTTCAAACGATACTCAAAGTGTCAATCGCTTATTGCTCGAAAGTTGTCACACGCGTTTCGACGCGTCGCGCTTTTCTCGCCCTCGACTATTTTCATTTCTTTTCTCGTCCCTTTTTTTTCCGGCGTCGAATCGCGACGACTGCGCGTACGACTGCGTCGTCGATCTGTCGCTTTCGGAAATTAGCAGCCAAAAGGCTCGATAAATAAATAAATAAGCGAATGGATTGTTTTTAGAAGTTTTTCGGAATCGTTGGAAAGATCGAAAGCGGCGGTAGATCGAGTGTCGCGGGGTGCAGCCGTCTCGATCGAACGGTCGCGAGCGAGAAGGGCGCGGCACGCGTAGACAGATACGTATATAAATTAAGTATCGACTCGTTTACGAACGCCTTAAGTGTCTAAGCTTAACCTAGTTGAAACTTACGAGTTAGGGTCGCTTAACTTACACTGAGCTAATCTCAATCTCGGTTTGCCGTTAGCAAAAAGTCGCTCGTTCGCGAATCTTACAATTAGTTATACCCGGGAACGCGAGTTCCCTCGAAACGCGTCTCCCGTTTCGCGCGCTCGAAAATCGCGTGGTCGCCACTTCGGTTCGCGCGATGGAGAAATATTGTCTTCCATTACTCGAAGAAAAATATATGTATACCTATCCGTTATTCTACGTAGACGCGTTCCTTGTACGTGTACGCCCGATTCGTTTTCCTCCGCGTACGCGTACCTTCGTCTCCTGCGGACGACTCGAACGGAAGCACGCGGCGAAACGATCGAGGAAAGGATCGCGCGTTACCCACGGAACTTGACAGAGTATTAAGAGTATCGAGGATGATTGCTCGAAAGAACGTCGACGAGGCTTTTGGCACTTTGATCGAGGCTGAGCGTCGCGCGACAACCAGGAGAGAACGTTCTCTGGAATGGAAGAAAAGAAATAAACGCCCCGTTTATCCGCGTGCTTCCGCTTCGTCCGAGTGCTCGGTCCTCGGGAATTCTCGAAACGGAAGAGAGCTCGTTCCGCGGTTTGGTTCGAAAGCTCGTTCACAACGTCCAAAGTTTGCTCTTCCGTTCTCTCTCTACCTCCCCTGTTTTATTGCTTCGTGGTCGAGATCCTTGAGAGTGGGGCGGCCGTTCACGGCC